ATTTAAATTAGTTCTAGAAGGATGAAAAGTTTAAATGAACAAAAAAGAAAATACAATTATACTAATACAAACTAAAAATAGGAGAAGATATTTGTAGTACATATAGCAAAGGGCTACTTCTTAGCACATAAAAATCTCTTAAAATCAATGAGAAGGCAACCAATATAAATATTAACACAGGATTTGAACAGTTATTCCATAGAGAAGAAAATATAACTGCCTTTTAGCCTATTATACAGAATGAAGTAAGTCAGAGAAAGACAAATATCAAATATTAACGCCTGTCTATGGAATCTAGAAAGACAGTACTGATGGTCCCATTCGAGGGGCAGCAAAGGAGACACAGACATAAAGAACAGACTTTTGGACACAGTGAGGGAAGAAAAGGCTGGGACGATTCAAGAAAATAGCACTGAAATGTATACGTTACCGTATGTGAAATAGATTGCCAGTGGCAAGTTTAATGTATGATGCAGGGAACCCAAAGTCCCTGTGACAACCCCAAGGGGTGGGATGGGCAGGGAGATGGGAGGGGGGATCAAGAGGGAGGGGACATATGTATACTTATGGTTGATTCATGCTGATGTATGGCAAAAACCATCATAATATTATAAAGTTATTATCCTTCAATTAAAATTTAAAAAAAGAAAAAATACGAAAAACTGATGAATAAATTCTGGGAATCTAATGTATAGTATGGTGACTATAGTTATTAATAACATTGCTGTGTTTTTATACTTGACAGTTGCTGAGAGCAGATCTTAAGTGTTCTCACCATACACACAGATAAAGGCTATTATGTGAGTTGATATATGTTAATAAACCCTACGTGGTAATAATTTCCATATATATATATAAGTCAAATCATTGTGTAGTACTCCTTAAATTTATATAGTTATTTGTCAATTATATATCAATAAAACTGGAAAAATGTGAAAAATACTCAAAATTAAAGAATTTTAGAAATGAATATTCTAATAGAAAGGAAGTACCATTTTTTCCTTAAAAATATTGGCAGAGATCTGAGTTTGGTAACAAGAGTGTTCTCCAGAGTGTGACAAAGCATACTGTTCATGGCATTGTAAATTATGATTACCTCATTTAAGAGTGATTTCACAATAGCTCCAAAATGTAAAATATACTTACATTAAGTTCAATGTCTTAGGAATTTATGCTTCAGCACGCTTTAACATGGGTAAGGAGACATATGGACAAAATTTTTTATTGCAGCATTGTTTCATTGCAAAATATTGGAAGAAACCTAAATGTCCATCACAAGGGCATTTGTAAAATAAATAATGGTATGTGTATACTACCTATTTAGATATACATACATCTGTTTCCTCATTCCCATGGTTACCTATTCTAATTTCTTGGCTTTAAATATGGTGTCTGTGTGTGTTTCCTCCATTTTATCTGCAGTTCAGTTCTCTCTACTGAATCCCCTTATGAGAGTGCTCCTCAGGTATGGTGATGTGTATTCAAAATGTGTGAACTCTTGATCTCCACACCACCCCCATCTCACTTCTTTGACAGCTCCCCTATCTCAGTGGATAGCAAATTCCATCCTCTACTTACTTGGTCCCAGAGCCTTAGAGTCATCCTCTCTACCTCTCATAACCAATTCCCAGTTGGTTAAGAAGTTAATTATTTTTGGTCTACCTTCAGATTATACCTGGAATCCTATCACTTTCCACCACAGTGGCTGCTGTGGCCTGGACTGTTCCACCATCATGTCTTGCCTGGATGATTGTAGTAGCCAGTCATCCACTCTACACTTGCTTTTGTGGTCTGTTCTCATTAAAGCAAGCAGGATGATTGATTGTTTTGAAGCATTCAATCAAATCACATTTTATTTTTCTGCTCAGAAATGTGCAGTGACTTCCATTTCACTCAGAGTAAAAGCCAGGAACTCATTGAAGAGTTCCTGCAATGGCCTGCAAGGACCTCCATGACCTGGTCCTTGTTAATTCTTTGGACATCATTCCGAGGTACTCATTTTCTTTCTCATTCACTCATAACCAGCTTCCCTTCTTTGATGCCTCTTGAGTAAACTTGCATTCTCCCGTCTTAGAGCATTTTTTCTCCACCCGCGGTGCTCTTTCTCAGGATATCTCAGGTAGCTGCTCGACCTCCTTCAGATCTGTGCTTAAATGTCACTTTTTCAATGAGAGTTGCCCTGAACCACTTTATTGCCTCACCTTTTCTTTATTACAGAATACTTACAGCCTCTTAAACTAGAGCCTTTATGTATTTGTTATGCTTACTTCACTGGTTAGATTGTAAGCTTCATCTGTTTTCTTCAGTGATAGATCCTGAAGGTCTGAAATACATTGAATAAATCTATAAATGAAGAAATCTTAAAGATACAAATAGAAAAACTCAAAGTATATAGCTGTTCATAGCAGTCTGTAAAAATAGATATTTAAGTGATGTAAATGCTTGTAAGTGGATACAGTGTCTCTGGAAGACTGTGAAATAAACTGGTAATTTTGGGTGCCTTTGGAAGAAACAGTACCAGGGTGGACAGGGAGGCACATTCTACACTTTTAGAATCGCTTCTTCAATCAAAGAACAAACTAATTGAAAATACGTTGCATATCTGAGCCTTATTCTGAAATTCAAAAATCTTTGTACAGCAAGAGTTTGAGTTCTTTAGATGTTTAATTGTAATATTACCACTAGGTGGCACATACTTACTGATAAATTCTTAAAGATTCTCAGACACAGGTTTAAAAATTGCTTTTTCATTCCCCAAACTCACCAGGGTTTAATTTTGGAATATTTTGCATTGATTTTCCTTAAGAAATTTCCTTAACTTTAGTTGTTTAGTGGTATAAGAGCTTCCCAGGTGGCTCAGTGGTAAAGAATCCTCCTGCAAGAGATGCGGGGTTCAGTCCTTGGGTCTGGAAGATCCCCTGGAGGGCGCCATGACAATCCACTCTAGTATTCTTGCCTGGAGAGTCCCATGGACAGAGAAGCCTGGCGGGCTACAGTGCATGGGGTCCAAAAGAGTTGGACACGACTGAGCAACTGAGCACACACACATAATAGCTTATAGGTGATTTTTCATTATCTATAAATTATCTATAAAATCTTTTTAAAAATTAATTAATTTATTTTTGGCTGCACTGGGTCTTCCTTGCTTTGCACAGGCTTTCTATAGTTGTGGTGAGCAAAAGCTACTCTTCATTGAGTTGTGGGGGCTTCTCATTGAAGTGGCTTCTCTTTCTGCGGAGCACAGGCTGTAGGCACAGGCTTCAGTAGTTGCGGCTCACAGGCTCTATAGTTGCCTCACAGGCTTGGTAGTTGCCCTGTGTGGGGTTAGTTGCTCTGTGGCAAGTGGAATCCTCCCAAACCAGGGATTGAACCCGTGTCCCCTACATTGGCAGGTGGATTCTTATCCACTGCACCCCCAGAGAGTTACCATGAAAGTGAAAGTGGCCGTCATGTCCGACTCTTTGTGACCCCATGGACTATACAGTCCGTGTCTCCAGGAGAGAATACTGGAGTGGGTAGCTTTTCCCTTCTGCAGGGGATCTTCCCAACCCAAGGATCGAACCAGGTCTCCTGCACTGCAGGCAGATTCTTTACCAGCTGAGCCACCAGGGAAGCCCAGGAATACTGGAGTGGGTAGCCTATCCCTTCTCCAGCAGATCTTCCCGACCCAGGAATTGAGCTGGGGTCTCCTGCATTGCAGGCAGATTCTTTACCAGCTGAGCTATCAGGGAAGCACCACCAGGGAAGTCCTATAAATGTTTAACTTAGCATCATTATAATATTTGAGAGGTAAAAATGTTTTAAATCTGCAAATGTTATTACAGCTTAGATATTCCTAAATTAGTTTAAATTATCTAATTTTTTTTGAATTGTATCTGTCTTTTCTTTTTTCCTATGAAATAACTTAATAAATGAAATTTAGGTATTCTGTGTACAAAAATCTATTGTTTGATTTACAAAAATAGATTTTTATTCGATTGTATTTTTTCACGACTTTTATGCCAAATAGTGTCCAGGATCACATGCAATTTAACACCTGTGTTCTTTTTGGTGCTGAAATTGGCAAAAAGAAAATGATGGCATGCATTTTATTAATTGTAAATTTTGTAAGCATCATAAAAGCCTTTTAGAGACAAGCTCTAAAATAACATTGGCAAAATTACTAGGCCATATAATTTTTACAGTCATTTTTAACCTAAAGATTCTTTTATTCCATTTTTCTTTTCAAATTAAGTTTTCCAGCTGTCATTTTTTAAAAAAATATTTTGGCTATGCTACATGGTATGTGGGATCTTAGTTCCCAAACCATGATCTAACCCATCCCTCTTGTTTTGGCAGCATAACCACTGGACCACCAGGGAAGTCTCTCAAGTTATATTATTAAAAAACTGAATATATATTTAGAAAAAGAACTGTATTAAAGTAGAATAACATGTATTGATTGCTTATTATGCCAGAAAACGCTCATCTATTATTTCCTTTAATACTTAATGTTTCCTTTAATACTTATGGTGAGTGCATTACCTACATTTTACAGGTGAAGAAATTGGGCACAGAAAGTTTCAAAAAATTGTATGAATATGCCAGCTATCTGCTGTAACACCAAAACTGGATGTGAATGAAATTAGTTTTACTACAGTAAGAAACTATGGCTTTCAATTTTTATCATTTCATTACCATTGCCTTGTTGCTTAAAGAAGAATCAAAATTATTCTTCTAAAATGTATTAATATTCACTACTTTGTTACACTGGTGGTCTTAACTAAGTCTGAGATAAATCATATTAAAATATCTTAGTGAATTGAGAATCTGGCCCTTTTGGCTATTAAGATACAAAATTTCCCCAACTTTGCTATATTCTAAAATATTCCAAAAAATAATAATCTAGTCTAGTGTATTGTACAGTGCTTAGTTTCAGTTCAAGCTCAACAGCTGAACCAAGCGGATGTTAAAATTATACAGTTAAAGATGAATCTTACTATTTTTCTGTCTTTCTTTAGCCAGAAAAATGTAAGAAAAATAAGTGGTATAACAGTGCCCTACGAGAAGCATATCTCCTCTATGGATTTTCTCATGAGCGAAGACTGGAAAGATGCTACCTATCAAAACAGGGTACGTGTGTTGTTTATTCTTCACCACCACAAAATAAGGATTTATTCAAGAGCATCTTTCCAAAACATGTTTGCACATTTAAAAATCTCTCTCTGTTTCATAGGAAAATAGAATATCTTTGTCCAATGAAAATTTATTCTTATATGGATTAACAGTATTTATTTTTTGCCCTCTGAAACTATTTTCCATGACTAAACATGCACTCCATTTTTTAAATTAATTTCTGTTGGCGTTTAGCTGCTTTACAATGTTGTATTATTTTCTGCTCTGCAGCAAAGTGAATCAGCCATATGTGTACATACATTCCCCCTTTTTTAGATGTCTTTCCCATTTAAGTCACCACAGAGGACTGAGAAGGGTTCCCTGTTTCTGGTTCTCATTAGTTACCTATCTTATGCACAGTATCAGTAGTGTATGTATGTCAATCCCAACCTCCCCATTCATCCCACCCCCGGCATCTCCCCTCAGGAACTATAAATTTGTTTTCTACGTCTATAGTTTCTATTTCTACTTTGCAAATAAGTTCATCTCTACCATTTTTCTAGATTCCACATAAAGCAATGTTATATCAGTGTAATGTTTGTTTTTCTCTCTGACTGACTTCACTCTGTATTGTAGTCTCTAGGTCCATCCATGTCTCTGCAGATGTCACTTTTCATTCATCTTTGTGGCTGAGTAGTGTTCGTTTGTCTCTTCTTTATCTCTTCCTCTGTTGTGGACGTTCAGGTTGCTTCCATGTCTTAGCTATGTACATGGTGCTGCGGAGAACACTGAGGCATGCGCTTCCTTTCAGATGATAGTTTTCTCTGGATGTACGTCCAGGAGTGGGATTGCTGGATCACACAGTGCCTCTAGTTTAGTTTTTTAGGAGCCTCCATCCTGTTCTCCATAGTGGCTGCACCAATTTACATTCCCACCAGAAGTATAGGAGGGTTCCCTTTTCTCTACACCCTTTCCAACATTTATTATTTGTAGACTTTCTGATGATGGCCATTCTTACCAGTGTGAGGTGATAATTCATGGTAGTTTTGATTTGCGTTTCTCTAATAATTAGTTATGTTGCACATCTTCTTGTGTGTTGTTTGGCTATCTATATGTCCTTTTGGAATAGTGTCTATTTAGCGAGCACTCTATTTAAATGTAGGTGTTTTAATTAGTGCTTCTGTCATCTATATTCTGAACCTTTCTACATAGATTCTCTTGTGTATTTCAAAGCATTTATTTCAAAATTATAAGCTCTGACTTTAACATATATTCCTTGAGTGAAACTTTTATTTGGATAGGCTATATTATTTTAGAACAAAGTATTTTTCAAAATGTTTTATTTTTTAAAAAATTCAAGGCAGAGATAAAAAGTAATCTTTTAACTTTTTTAATTAGGTAAAAAAGTATAATATTTCAAAGCATCTTCAAAGTTCTCTTGAATCATAAATATTGTGGTTTATGGGTAGCTTTTTAAATTAATTTATAGGGTTTGTAGCAGCTATAATACATTTTTAACTCTAAAAAGAATATAATAGTTGCATGGAAATGATTTTTCAATAAATAAATATATTTAAATTTTTTTCTGCTTAGTGATCATAAGTATATATATATTTTTTTCTTACAAGGCACCTTCTGATTTTCTCCACTTAAGTTCTAAAGCAGACTTTTCTAAGAGAGGATCTGGTCTTTTGTGCTTACTGAATTTTAAAGTAAGAGTGATATTTTTTTCTCCTATAGAAAAGTTTAAAACATATAAAAACATTTTATTTGAGAAAAAGTTTGAATATTAACCTAGCCACCTAAGTTTAGATTTTAAAGCATATAAATAGAATTGAAAAGAATGGAAAGAGAATGACAAGCAAACTCCTGTGGTCAAAAGACTTTTATTACCACAAATGTGATTTTATTCCTTGAGCTGAAGATATAATGTTTCTGTTTATTAGCAATAAAGGTTGAACTCACTTTATTGTCACACATACAATTTTATGCTTTGCATGGGCTATACATTTCTCTGTGTAACCAGAATAAACTGAAATACTTAGTTTTTTAAACATTGCTATTTTGTAGTAATATATAGTCTAGTCTTCTGCTTCTGAAAGTTATGTTGCAGCCATTTCAGACCAGCAGTAACCTGGCCTCAGTAACTTATTTTGCCTTTACTGTTGCTGTATGTGCTAGGGTGTTTATGTCTGCATCCTTTGGCATTCTTACTTGTCCAGAGACCTGGAACGGGGTTATTTCTGATTGATTTTTCAGCAACAAACCATTTTCTTGATGAAAGTCTGATGATTTTTGCATGCAGAATTTGTATAATTCAGCCTGATTATAGAAAGCCGTGTACCTAAGGACTCTCATTTTGTGCCTGAAGTATCCCAAATTGACGGGTGTGAACAGACTTCTAGGAGTTCAGTCTTTGCGTCACAGGTTCACTCACTTCATACTCCCTCTTCACTGCCTCCAAAAGAGAATTTAGTCCTGTGCCTGCTTAACTTCTAGAGTGGATTCTAGGATGTATACAGCTTCTTACTGTATTCAAAGTAGGTTTGAGAGATAATTAACGATTATTCAAATATTTTACAGAAGGTCAATTACTTAAAAGGTTAGTTGCTTAGAGGCAAACCATTTATTTCATTCCAGCAGCTGTGAGGATTTCTCTACTCCCAATTTTATTCCATTGTTTGTGTGTACCACAGTTTATTTATCCATTCACCCATTGAAAACATCCTGGATGCTTCCAGGTTTTAGTGACTATGAGAAAAGCTGCTGTAAACATTTATGTGCAGAACTGTTTGGGCACAAGTTTTCAGTTTATTTGAGTAAATATTAGGGAGTGCAACTGCTGGGTTTCATAGTAAGAGTATGTTTAGTTTTGTAAGAAACTGTCCAAGTATCTTCCATCGTGACTGTCATTTTGCATTCCCACCAGCAGTAAGTGAGAATTCGTGTTGTTCCACATCCTTGGTGTGAGCTGTTCTAACAGGTGTGTAGTGGTATCTCATTGTTTAAGTTGCAATTCTTGAATGACGTGATGATGAACATCCTTTCATATACTAATTTGCCATCTTTGAATCTTCTTGAGTTATCTCTTTATTCCTCATTTTATAATCCAGTTGTTCATTTTTTCATTATTGAGTTTTAAGATTCTTTGGGCCCTTTGTCAGATATGTATTCTGTAAATATTTTCTGTCACTCTATGGATTGTCTTCTCATTCTGTTGAGAGTGTTCTTTGTAGAATATATGTTTTTAACTTTAATGAAGTCTAGCCTATGAATGATTTCTTTCATACATCTTACCTATGGTACTATATCTAAAAAGTTATCAGCATACCCAAAATCATCTAGATTTTCTCCTGTGTTACTCTCTAGGAATTTTACAGTTTTGTATTTTACTTAAATGTGTGGTATGTTTTGAGTTAATTTTGTGAAAAGTATAAAATCTGTGTCTAGATTTTGTGTGTGTGTGTGTGTGTGTGTGTGCCTGAGCCATGTATATGATTAGTGATTCCAACATCATTTGTTGAAAATGTTAGCTTTTCTCTACTATATTATCTTTGCTTCATTGTCAACGATCAGTTGACTGTATTTGTTGGCATATTTCTTTACTCTCTATTCTGTTCCATCAATCTATTTTTATTATTTTCCCAATATTATACCATCTTGATTATTATAGCTTTTTAGTAAGTCTTGGAGTCAGGTAGGATCAGTTCTCCAACTTGCCCTTCTTCAGTATTGTGTTGGCTATTCTGGGTCTTTGTTTCTCCATATAAACTTTAGAATCAGCTTGATATCCTCAAAATAACTCGTTGATATTTTGATTGATAGTGTATTGAATCTGTAGATCAAGTTTGGAAGAACTGAAATCCAGACAATATTGAGTTTTCCTATCCATGAACATGGAATAGATCTCCGTTTATACAGTTCTTCTTTGATTTCTTTCACTAGAGTTTTATAGCTTCCCTGGTGTAGATCTCATCCATATTTTGTTAGATTTTCAGCTAAGTATTTCATTTCGGGAAGTGACTACATAAATGGTAATGTGTTTTCAGTTTCGGATTACACTTGTTCATTTGCTGGTAAATAGGAAAGCTATTGACTTTTGTGTTAATACTAACGTAGTATCCTGCAACTTTGCTCTAATTACTTATTTGTTCCAGGAGTATATCTCTTGATTCTTTTGGATATTCTACTTAGATGACAATGTCATCTGCAAACAAAGATAGTTTTCTTTCTTTCGTCTAAATTTATATCTTTTATTTTCCTATTGCATTAGCTAGGAGTTCTACTACATTTTTGAAAAGAATGGTCTCAGTGGGAGATCTGATCTCAGTGGGAAAGGTTTGCATCTCTCACCATTAAGGATGATGTTAGCTTGTAGGTGTTTTGTAGATTCTTCTCAAGTTGAGGAAGTTTCCCTTTACTCCCAGTTTGCTGCGAGTTTTTGTTTTTTTATTGTGAATGGGTTTTGAATTTTGTCAAGTGCTGAATCTGCTTATCTTGATAGGATCATGTGACTTTTCTTCTTTAGCCTATTGATATCATGTCAAAGTGTTAGTCACTAAGTCATGTCTGACTCTTTGTGACCCTGTGCACTGTAGCCTGCCAGGCTTCTCCATCCATGGGATTTTCCAGGCAAGAATACTGGAGTGGGTTGCCATTTCATGGATTATGTTAGTTGATATTTGAATGTTGAATCAGCCTTGTATGCCTGGAATAAATCCCACTTGATTGTGGGGTGTAATGCTTTTTTATACAGTGGTAGATTTGATTTGCTAATACTTTGTGGAGGATATTTGTATCTGTATTCATTAGAAATATTGATGGCTCTGTAGTTTTCATGTAATGTCTTTATTTGGTTTTGGTATTTCAGGTAATACTGGTTTCATTGAATGAGTCAGGAAGTATTCTCTTTGCTTTTATCTTCTGAAAGAGTTTATAGGAAATATATATAATTTCTTCCTTAAATGTTTGGTAGAATTCACCAGTGAATACATCTGGACTTGATGTTTTCTGTTTTG